GCAGCACGGCTGGTGGGCAAGAGGCCATGTGTCTCCCTCCCACTGCAGCTGTGGGCTGTTTGACAGTTCTTGTAAATTCCCTGACATGGGGCTGTCATGGCACCCAGCCTGGGCAGCCCCAGGGCATGCCACAGCCACAGAGGGAAGCACCAGCCCCCTTGCAGCTGCAGAGGGAAGCACCAGGCCCCCACACAGCTCAGACAGGCAGACAAGCTCCCAGGAGGGGGGAAAAAACCCCATCAGGCTCGCCACTTTTTTTTTCTCTTCACTGGAGCCTGCCTGCATGGGTTGGCTGCCACCAGGTCCCACAGTCCCTAAGTTGCACAGGGCCCGCCAAGCCCCTAGCATTTTGGCTTCCAGTGCCCTGTGCACTGTTGCATTTCGTTAGGTAGCAAACTAAAGCACCTCTAATGAGAATTGTCCATTTTGTCTGAAACGCTATCCAGAAGTTTTCAAGTGTCCAGGAGTCTCTTACAATCTTGTAAGATTAAGACTTAAGGAGGATAGATATAACTTAGTGGTTACACACTGTATAACCCAGGGGCAGGCAACTATTTTGGCTGGAAGGCCGCTTACCAAGTTTTGGCAAGCTGTCTAGGGCCCTGCCCCTGGACAGTGGCCCTGCCCCCAGTCACCATATTGGGACCGGGCGTCCTGCCCCCCCCCCCAACCTCTGACCTTTGCCACCAGAAGGCCCTTCCCTTGCCCTGAAGTACTCCTTTTGGGAGGGTGGGTGCTGGAATCTGGAAACCAGGAAAAAAAACCAAATCGTATACAAAAAATAAAACTTCTACTATAACTTATTTTCATTTTATTTAAAAATATTTTTGTACTGATTTATGTGTTTGTGAAGTGTATCTAGAAATGACTGCATAATAGCTCAAAATACAGTCCTATTATATATTGTGTGTGAACGGCAAGGAAGTGTATGTGGAGGGGTGTGGTTGGGGAGTGGGTGCATGTGTGGTGGATTGGGTGTTTGTGTGGTGGGTGGGTGTGGAGGGGTGTAGGTTATGTGATTGGGGTGGGGGATGTGGAAGGGGTGTGGTGTTATGGTGGGGTGGGAGAGAAAGAGAGAGATGGGGCCGGGCCTCTGGCCCCATTACATGCAGCTCTTGCAGACTGTGTGTGAGCCTCACACAATGCAGACCCCGTGCCCAGGCTTCACACTCCTGCCACTCCACCCCAGGGCACCAACATGGGCTCCGCGTTCCTGCCGCCACCACTCCCCCCACCATTTCCCTACTTTCCCTCCCCCATGCCTGCCTGCCGCCACTGCCATTGCTTCCCAGTCACCACTACCACTCCCCTGCTGTCGCTGCTCTCCACAACCCCCCCACTGCTCCCCTCCTGCCAGTGCTCCTCACTTCCCACCCACAGCCCTTCTACTCCCCAGCCCTGGCAGAGGGGGCCCCCAATTGCCATGGCTATAGGGCCAGGGACCTGGGTCTGCAGCCCTCTGCTCCCCCAGCAGCACCTGGGCCCTGGCTGCCTCCCGCAGGAGGCAACAGAGCATGGAGCCCAGCTCCCCAATGGGTGGCACAGCTGGAGCAGAGCCCATGGAAGGGGGCAGATGTGGGCTGTCCACTGCAGTCTCAGGCTTCCTGCCCTGCTGCCTTCCCCCTGGGGCCTCCGGGGCCCAGTGGGTGGGACCTGGCATGGCAGGGCAGAGCAGGGCCAGTCAGGGAAACTTGTTGCCACCCCTGGGAGCCCTGCACTGCCATGATGATGCAACCCCTGCCAGTCCAGCAGCGGCAAGGGGCACAACCCTGGACCGCCACCCCCACTGCTGCCGGGTGGGCTAGGGGCACATCGCCAGGGTGGCACAGGGCTCACAGCAGCAAGAAGCTTCCCTGCCTGGCTCTGCTCTGCCCTGCCATGCCAGGCCTCGCTCACTAGACCATAGAGGCCCCAGGGAGAGGGCAGGTAGCCCGAGACTATGGAGGGCAGGCTGCCTCCACCCCACACACAAAATTCAGGGGCACATGCCCCCTCTGGTCCTCGCAGAGTGCGTACAGCAGTGGAGACCCAGCCTCCTCCCTCCCCCCAGCCCCTGGACAACCAGCCACAGCCCAGTCTTGCTCCATTCCAAGGCCCTATGGCTGCACATTCAGGCCCTTGCCCCCAAGCACCACCCCAGTTGGGTAGCAGTCCCAGTCCTGCCCAACTCTCACCCTTGCTCCATCCCCACCCCCACCAGACTTACCTGGCAGCCATGTGCATATGTGTGTGTGCACATGCAGATGGCACCCCCTGCCCGACCAGCCATCTCCTGCTTCCCCAGCCCCTTGCAGGCTGGAACTCCTGGCCTGCAGGGAGCTTTCTGCAAAAGTGCAAAATCCACATGTCTCTCTGTTAAAATGAAAAGTCCACATTTTTCTTGGTTAGTATGAAAAATCCAGTTTGTTCATTTTTTTTCATGGGAAATGGAAAGCCTAGATCCCTGCTTATCACGGATGATGAGCTCTGTATTTTAAAAAGCTTGTCTTTTTGTTTTTTAGCTTGGGCCTTGGAGATCTCCTTGGTGGGCTTAAAAAGGAATAGTAGATGAAAATTTATTTCATTGCAAAAAATGTTATTGAAAATGCAGGATTTCATGCAACTCAGATTAAGCATAGTCGTTATGGCCTATAGCTGTCTCTGAATTACTGTCCCCTTTGGTGATTCACAATCACTTGTGCATGAACAACAACATTTGTATCCATTACACAACAATTGCTTAGGGACAGCTGGAAAGTATTTGAAAGGTTTTTTATACATCTGCCATCTTGGTATTGCTGTAATGCAGCATTTTGGGAATTTTAAGGATAATTCTGGTGTTGTGTTCCCCAGGAGCACTTTTGAATTGACACAACAGTATTAAACAGTTTTAAATAAAGTCATAGTACTGTAAACTTACTGCTTAATTTGATCTTCAGCAAAAGAAATGGGGCTGAAATCAACACTGGTTGACTGACTTGTCTTGCTAAGGATATAGAATTCATTGGTTTTACCAGCGGGATATCAGCTATTCTGGAAGTAAAGTTAGCCACATCTTGTATAACGTAATAAAAAGGGAAAATAAAGTATACAATACAAGGCTGATAGCAGCTTTTTTAACATTGATTGTAAGTAAAGTTAATTAAGATTAGAAGACATATTAATGTACATCTCCACATCACAGAGAAAATGGTTTTTAAAAGTAACAGAGTAAGGAATGAAAAAGTTTCTCTAAAATTATTTATCATATTTATTATGCTAAATTATGTATATTATATTTTTTTTCCTTTTTCACCACAGTAGTTTAAGTGCATCACTAGTCTTCTCACACATCTGCAATTTTTAATAGTTTTTTCTAAGGTGAATATATTGGGCATATCATTTTTTTTCACATATCACATACCCCCAAATAAAGCAACCTTATTTTAGGAAGGAAGAATGAAAAAAAAAAAAAAGGATTTTCAACCATTGCTAACTGCTCAGCCAAGTGCTGAAACTGCAGTTGCTACTGAACACAGGACTTCAGGGGCAGAGCTAGGAATTAAAAAAAACCTAAAAACAGGTTGCTAGGCTATGATAGGAGAAGAAAGGAGTAGCTACCAGACAGCAAAATGTGGGAAGAAAGGATAGCTTGATTAGTGGAACATCAAGACCAGTAAAAAATTGAGATGGTCATTAACACCTGTAGAGTGAAGAACAGTCAGCAGAAATCAGGTAGATAATAATGAGCCATTAAGTCAGTTTACTCTATCAGTACTGTCTGAATAGACATGCCACTGCTGCTGTGTTTGGAGAAGTAGTTTTAAACTTTTGGTGAATCAAGCATCAAAGGAGTACACACTATTGTACCATCCCCCGCCCCCTCCAGTTCTGCCTCTGCTGTACACTAAACAGCAGCCATTTACAGCATCTCCATGCATCTATTATAGACAGAAAAATAAGCTTCCCTGATTAAGACATATGCCCCAATTTTGAAAGGCTAATTTTTTGGAGGAAAGTGAATATGTTATGTGAGTAAATAAGGTAATATCTGTTTTTATTGCAGTATTTGTTAGCAATGTCATACAAGGGCAAATACTCCTATGTGCTAGGCAGTATAAAACACACACCAAAGAGATTGTTCCTGCCCCAAAATATTTGCAGTTTTATGGAGTTCAAGATTTTGCCAATATCTTATGAAAAAGCAGATTTCAGTTTTTTATTAAATTTTTCATCTTGTAAGACATTGTCTTGTTATGATGTTAAGTGTGGTGCATGTTTCTTTGCAGTTTACGTGTGAACTTAGACATGGGCAAAGCAGCCTATGGGTGGATGATTATGAAGGATGACAATATACCTGGAACAGTTGTCCGAACCAGCACCATACCAGAAGAATTGGGTCGTTTAGTATATTTGCTAACAGATAAAACAGGTACATGACTCTGTGTATTTAAAATTTTATTTATATATTAATTTAATTTATTTTGTAACAAATAAGATGATTTACTAATGGTGGTTGGATTGTTTCAGTTTGATTAGATTTCACTTCATTTGGGGGGTTTTATTGTTTCTTTGTTTTTATGCACGTGTTTTATGTTTGATTAGCTCAGACTTTGTGAGATTTGACCTTCATTACTAAGCATGGAACTAACTTCTATGGGTACATACAGACATTCAGGCTAGGGACAGACATTCAAAAATCCCGAGCCTGAATTGATTCAATCTTTGCAGGTTAGTCTAACCTGCAGAGAGTGAACTGGTTTCCAAGTGGATAGATGTTCTCTTTTCATTCCAGAAATGCGGGCACATGCCTGCAGTGGCTTAGGCCAGAAGCCTGGGGGCACTAGAGCAGCCCTCCCCTTTCACAGAGAAGCTGAGCTGAGCGGGGGTGGGGGTCAGGCCTGGGCAGGCCTGAGTAAGACTGAGGAGGGGTTTAAACTTCAACTTTGGTCTGCAGGGTGCCAAGGGTGGGAGAAGAGGGAGCCTGTCCAGACCACTGTGGTTGGGGAGGAGGAGGAGGGAAGAACTCTGCCCAACCCAGAGGCTCCCTGACAGCTAGGAGCAATCCTGACACACAGGCCCAGCTCTGCAGGGCTGCCAAGCACCAGAGGGGGGCTGTTTCCCTGCTTCTCCATTGCCGCTGCAGGGCAGGGAATGGGGCTTTATGCCAGGCTGCTCAACCCCAGAAGGGGACTCTTCCCTCTGCTTCTCCATGGGGTGGGGAGACAGGCTCTGTTCATTGAGGGGAGAGGGTCTCTTCCCCCTCTGTCTCCCTCCCACCCACCACCACTATGAGATGGGGAGGAGGTCTCTTTGTGGTGCAGCCCAACTGGGGTGCCAGGAGCAGCTGTCACTGAGTCACAGCTGCCGGGGGTGTCCCCTCCCCTGCGCCCCAAACTGCCCTCACTCACCCCTGGCCAAGGCAGCCGCAAGGTCTTTCTGGGCCAGGCCATAGGGGTGGGGCCATCCTGACAGCTGTGGCTCAATGACAGGGACATTGAGCCCTGTCAGCGAGTGCAGCCCTACCCAGCCCAGCCCAGCATGTGGCCGGTGGCTGCTAGCCAGGCCAGCTCAGAGACACCGGAGGGCCTGGAACCCAGCAGCCACCCACCACAAGGGCTGCTAGCACACCCGTGAGCCCCTGGGGCACCTCTGAGATGGCTCGGCTAGCAGCCATCTACTGCACACTGGGCCCGGCTGAGCTTGCTGACAGGGCTTAATGTCCCTGTCACTGAGCTGCACCCACCGGGGTGGCCCCACCCCAATGGCCTGGCCCAGCGAGACCACGCAGCTGCCTCAACTGGGGCTGAGCGAGGCTGAGCGGGGCCACATGGGCCCACCCCTGGCAGCTGCAGCTCCATTATAGCTGCTCCCCGTGCCCTGGCTGAGCCAAGCCAACCCATGGAGCACCGCACAGAGCACCTCCCCCTCCCCCCACACATGCCCTGTGGCAGAAGGGGGTAGGGGGAGAAGGAGTAGAAAGGTTGTCCCCCAGCATTGAACAGAGCCCCCCTTCCCCACCCCGTGGCAGGGAGGGCAGCAGGGGAGGAGGGGGATTAGTCTCTCCACCCAGCACTGAACAGGACCCTCCTCCCTGCCCTGCAGGAGGAGGAGTGGTGGGAAGAGCAGAGGGAATAGTCCCTCTCTGGGGCCAGGCAACTTCACAGAGTCTCCCTCCCCATCCCACAGCAGCAGGAGTGGAGGAGGAAGGGGAAGAACCCCCCAACTCCCAGGCCCAAACAGAGCCCCCCTCCCTGCCCTGCAGCGGCAGGGGGGCGAGGAGTAGGGGGAAGAGCCTCCCTCTGGGGGCTGGACAGCCTCGTGGAGTCCATCTGTCCACTCCAGGATGGGAAGGAGGAGCAGGAGGCCTCCTCCACTGCCTCACAGAGCCCCCCTGACCCTGGGGTGGGGGGAAGAGGAGGGGGAAGAGTCCGTCGCAGCATGGCTCTGTTAAGGTAAAGGTGGCAGGGAGAAGGTTTAATTTCTCCCTCCTTCCTTCTGCCGTGCAGCCAGGGTCCTCCAGTCCCAGGGGCCACTACCACAGCCCCCTCCCTGCCCACTTTGCCTTAATGGGGCCAAGCCAGCTAGTGTCTCTGCTAAGGCCGGTTGGTCCTTGCTTGGGCTAGAGAGCAAAGGAGTGGGGTCAGCCCTGTGGCTGAAGCAGAGAGCCGTGCCCACCCAGAGTGCATGCTGGGATGCTGGAAGACTCTAGTTTAAGTTAAACCAGCAAGGCGTCTGGGACAGACATTGCAGAAACTGGTTTGAGCCAAATCAGTTGAGTCTCATACTATATTCAACCAGGTTTATCTCCAACCAGTTTCGATCATCTTGAAACTAGTTAATATGTATTGAATGTCTGTTCTGTTTCAGGTTTAAACCGGTTTCTGATCACTTGAACTAGTTTGTGAAATGTTTGTCCCTAGCCTCAGGGAATTTAGATCACAGTAAAAATGGCCACCCAATCTAACTTAGTTCACCCAGGTGCAGATCTTACACTTAGATTCCTAGTTAGATAGAGATAAGTGTGAACTGTCAGGAAGCTTACATCAGTCTGAAAATGGCTGACCCAATCTAAGTTAACTGGACCTCTCAGGTAGCCTGACTTAGATTGGATCCAGTGAAACCAATCTAATTGAATTTCTGTACAGTTTCCAGCACAGCCCCAGGGCTGGGCAAACTCAGTCGCTGGCCCCAGTCCCAGGGCTGCACTTTTCCTATATCTCCTCTCCAGCACTGGGCCATTTTTAGCCCCCCCCCCTTCCTCCCAAGGCCACCAAACGACCCATCCCACAAACTGCTCCTACAAGTGATGATTTTACCAGTCGGTGCTGGGAGCTGAGGCAGTAAGTTGGAGTGGGTTGGTTGATTCACTGGGGAGAGTCATTCCTCTGGGGTGGTTGGGAGGCTAAAAATAGCCCCTGAGGAGGGGAGCACATCCCCGTTCCGCCAAGTCCCCCTGAGGATCCCACTAGTCATCCCTGATCTCACTAAACTCTCTCAGACTCCACCAACCCCCCTCAGATCCCACTTGCCCCCACAGTCTCCCAACCCCACCCCCCAGCAAACTGTGCTAGCCCCCTGGTCTCCCCAGTCCCCTCTGCAGACACTTTGTCCCACTGATCCCTCCCCAGTCATCCCTGCTGACCCAGCTTGTCCCCTGGTCCCACCCACCTCTCAGGGAGCCTGCTTGTCCCCTGGATCCCTCCAGATTCCCCACTGCCCCATCCCCATCCCAATTTACCATAGATCAGGTGGCCATTTTTAATTCACTCTAACTTCTGCCTCAGCCCCGCAAATGTCCGTATATATCCTATAAGTAGTCCTGATTATTTCAATGTAATCTCTTTTACTACAATGGCTGCATTAGTGGTGTTATTATTATTTCATAAACTACCATGTGAATTAACCCAGATGATGCTAAATGACATTTTAGCCCTCAAACTGCTGGGTTTTTTGTGTGTCACATGTATCCCTATAAACTCGTTCCCTTGAAATTTTTTTAAAGACAATTCAAAATTAGGACTGGCCTACAAACAAGTAAGCCTGTGCTAAAATACTAAGAACAGCCTCTAAAATGGTGCTTTCTAAAGGAGAGGTGAAGTCATGTTTCATCCTTTCATTTTCCTGAGATTAATTTCTATATTTGATCTTCCTAACTGGTGCCTATTATTGTTCTTCACCTTGAATAGTAACAAAATAAACAAAACCATCCTTACTAATCTTTAGTACAGTGGTGTGAAGTAGAAATGCTGTGCTCATTTGATGTCTATCTGTTGACCTCTAGTCTGCTTCATAAGGTATAAAATCCCAAATGATAAGCTTTTCCCATCCTAGTCCTTTCGGTATTTAAGAGTGAAATGTGTTCTTATAGTATGCCACAATCATATTTGTAAAGATCTGAGGAACTTTACTGTTGTAAGTTATTAGTCCTGGCATTGCTAAATCAAACACCAAACAAAAGGCATTGTTTCTTAATTTATTTTTACATCGCTTAGTTCTCTCTGACATTGAATGCATCAATCTACTAAAATACAGTGATTTTTCCTCAAGGAGATTCCCTAAAATAATTTAAAAAATAAAGTAGCTTTCCAAACTGCAATAGAAAAATATCTATGGATTTTAATATTTTTACCTAAGCTGTAAGAAATTGTCATAGCAGGACTTTTTTTTTTCTTGCCTGTATTTCACATCAGTTCAGAGAGTGCATTCTGTGCCTTGCTTTCCAACACTGTGTGAAACAGGAGCACATTCTACATTGAATATTTTTTGTTAGTGTTATCTAGTGACATAATCTAAGTAATACATTAAACACAGTATATTAAAAATATTTTAATCTGGTCTCTAAATACATGTGTATCCCTAATGCTGTGTATTAGCACCTTCTGTATGTGTAATAATAGATATTATCAGAACCACCTCTCTCTTTTTTTTCCTTCCCAGTCTATGGGAGTATGAATGCCAAAAAATAAAATACAATAGTTTTTTAAAGCACATTGACAATCCTGAGCTTTATGAAGTTTATTTCAGTTTAACTAATTATTTGTAAACTATTTGAAGCTGCTTGCTGAATTTAATTGCAACCTTTATCATGGTAATTTATCTAACTTTTTTAAAGAGTTCTGTCTAATGTCTCGCTTGAAATTTGTAATTTTAGCTTGTGAAATATGTAATTTACAGTATATCATTGCAAATGATAAATATGTATAAAAAGGAAGAAGGGGGGGAGTCTTTTTGAGTAACACTAGAGTTCATCCACCAACTAGTTCTAGCAGAAACATTATGGATTCCTTATAAAAAATCATTTTTTATTTTAACAGTATACAGTTGCCCTCCCAGAATGTAACTATGATTCATGTAGTGTGGTATTCTGTCTCTCTGATTACAGGTTGCACTAAATGCTCAGAGGAAGGTGTTTAAACTCCATGAGCAAAT